CTCCAAACTATTTATACTGTTTTGTTTAGTTATATCTTTATTTTGATTTTCTTGCGTGTCGATCACTATAGAGTCGTCAAACTTAATTAAGGATTCGGATTTGCTTAATGGACTCATTTGATTGGACGTAACGGTACTATCAGTCTCCTGTGCCACATAGTTTGTCGCCGTGCATGTGTCATGTGGATTCAAAGTATTCTTATCAAAATTTACATTATTGTTCCTGTTACCTTCAATTCTATCAGTATCCGTTGTACTCTCCCTGAGAGAAGATTGATGCTTATCATAATCCGACGTATCCGTTATAACGTCGGCGCCTGTCGGTGTATCTTTGCACTTCTTGTCCGTTATTGTCACGTTTATTGGAACTTTCGGACTCTGTTCGGAAATGCTTTCTAATATTTCATTTGACGACACGGATTCATTGTGGAATATTTTTGGAACAGACACTTCAAACGTTGCATTTGCGAAATTTGTTGAGTCTTCATTTGTTACATCGTGTCTAGTTTTATTCTGTAGAAAGGATTCATAAAAATTTATTATTTCACGTATCTTTGTTTTTAAAAATGTAAAAAAATATAAGAAATGCCAGGAACAAAAGTCGTTAGTCTTTATTGGAATGTGCCTCAAATCAAATAATTTATTCCTGTAATACATCTTTGTATTAGCAACAAACATAAATCAAGTGACGAAACATCTTGCATTGCAACTATAATTACATGAGATAACACATAACTTTATGAACGAGCATCAATGGGATACTCTTAAGGGCTGTGTACAGTGGAAGTGTGTAATAAGCTGTAAGAAATTGAACAATCATAGTCGATTAGTCTCCTTGCATTTGTCTGTGATTGATCGATTTTTTACAATTAACCACATAATATTACTTCCATTGTAAACGGTCCTTTAAAGACCAATATTCTTACGAGAGTTAGCATGGATCATTCCAAAAGAAATTGAATTACCCGAAGGTAATTGAATAATACTGACATTATTAACTATTTTGGCTATTTCAATCCAGACAACAAAAGGTCCAAAATCAAGACATGTTTTTTAGACATCTTTAAAATGTCCATTAGGCGTTTTTAAGACATCTTATGTCTCGTTTTTGAACATGCATGTTGTCTAGAAAACATAATGGTAAAGATCTTCATTTAAAATATTTTTTCCATTCTAAAAGTATAAACATGCATATATAAACTCCATTTCATAAATACATATTAATTGCATATACTTTAATTCTAGAAAAGGATTTTCAAATCTGTAAAAAGAGAAAAAAGAAATTATCCAGACAACATGTCCGAAATACGGATATAAGGCGACTTGCAGCAATTTTATTGATTACGAATATTATAATTGCATTGCGATTTTCTCAATATTTTAGCCGTAATTTGGGACAATAGAAATTCATCTCTGACAGACTTCTGCCTTAACAATTACAACTACATAATTATCCCAATCAACTTAACTCAAGAAAATACCTTTTGTGAACTATTAAAGGCACCGTTGATGCTATTCTTGAGAATTTCTCCCAGTAATGGCTCAGTTGAAACAATACCTAATTCTTCGCACAATTTATTTCTTCCTACATAGTTGTATTCCTTCCCAAAGTATGTTTCTGGGTCGTACACAGATATTGTGTAGTCAAGACCAAAGTATTCTAGGAACTCCCTAACTAAGGAAAACAATAATTTTCCTTCTGAATTAGACAGGTACTGTTTTACAGTTTTGTTGAGAAGTGGTTCAGGATTCTGGAACATTTATTCCAAATCTATTAAATCATTCTCTTGCTATACTGCATTCATTTTTCTTTTCTTTTATATAAATTTCGAATGAGGATACAAATCGCTTATTTACTACAACAATAACATAACTTTAAAATTATCATTTTAGAGTTGTTTACAGAAAAAGAATAGAAATAAAAAAAAAAAGAATATTTTTATTCCTCTACACTCAGTCATTGTACCACAATTACATGTCAGTATTAATGTTACAATATTACAATAATTCAAAACATCCAAATTCATTTTCTATTGTAGAAAACTTTTTTTTTAATTGTATTGTTGAAATAAGTGAGCAATATAACTTGTAAAAATCTAATGGACTTTTGCTTTCTTTTTGAGGATCATTTATAGATGCCATACATAGTTAACTTATGTCATAAGCTGCAAGAAATTAATCAATCACAAAGTCAATCACAGTCAAACACAAAGAGAATAAAATAAATCATATTCAACTGCAAATGATCAATTGATTGTAGCTTACGACATGAGTTAACAGTTTACGACATGTATAAATCTTATTTTTAAGAGTAAATCCACACAATTTGCAGTCATATAAATGTGTAAGGAAAATTATCCAATTGCAATTCTCTTATAAAGACGCACATAAAATGATTGAATAATTTTCTTTATGCATACGCTTATGCAGCTATGCAAGTTTGTGTGAATATGCTTAAGAGGGCATAGATTCTTGAATAACGCATAAGAAAATCAATCAATAATTATCTTTTATTTCGTGGAAAAAAGTGAAGAACTTTGATTCATTTTCTCAAGCATTATGCGTTATGAATTATGCAAAACTCTGTGCTCCCGTCCTAATTACAGCTGTGCATGCCTCAACGACCCTTACCATAACCGAATCCTGTTCTTCGAGTGCCAGAAACACGCTCGCCCTGAGTTCCGCCTGCGAATATTTCAAAAGAGGTTCGATAAGACAGACGGAAAAGAGAGAAACATTAAATAACGATTTTAATGAAATCTCTACCCATTTTTGCCCCGAAAACATTCGCCTAACCTACAGAGACTTGCGAATATTCTTTTTTCTCGTAAAACATAACTATATGAAGACGCACCCGTATCTTGGCGAGAACGCCGTTACTCTCCAGAGTCTGCACCACCAGATCCCGTAATTCGGTGTCCTCCTCCATCGAGATGTTTCCGTCTATCATGATTACACAAATTAAAAAAAAATGCGCCGAAACGAATACTCAAGAGAAGTAAATATTTACGCTTTCCATCGCGTGTATGTCATAGACTAGAGGCCTAAGATAACAGAGATGCGACATTGAAGGGTATGGTCTGATTGGCTGTCTAAATCACGTGATCAGAGCGCCATTTTAATTCATTCGACCGGATCCTCATACGGGCAACGGCGCTCTGACGCGGAACGCTGATTGGTGAAAAGCCGGTTGTGGGAGTAAAATTTACCTCCACAATTGGCTTTTCACCAATCAGAGCTCTGTGTTGAAGCGCTGTTACCCGTATGAGGATCCGGGCTAATGCTGGATTCACCCTGCATCCGATTTGCGTCGTCCGACGCTCTGCAACCAATCAGAAAACAGGATTCCGATGATACGAAGCAAAATCCATCGGAATCCTGTTTTCTGATTGGTTGCAGAGCGTCGGACGACGCAAATCGGATGCAGGGTGAATCCAGCATAAGCCCTTCTCTCGTACGAATGCTCCATCTATCTTATAAGTCTATGGTATATGTACACTGTTCTAATCTAAATATAACAGCGAGATATCTCAATTAATAAAATGCCCAAAATTTATTTTATCAAATAGCACAATACCAGGTATGTAAATATGAAACCGGAATTTACCAATAGATGGCCATAGCTGTCAATGTAGCTGCCGTCAGACCGCGTCATTGACGCCATTTCCTTGTTCTGACATCTGACAAAGATTTTCAACTCACAACAATACAAGTTTCATACAACAGTATAGTTTGTAATAGCGTTGAACATGTCGAATTTTGTGCCTGGAAACCACGATTTGCGGACAGCATTGATTTTCTGTTACCATATGAAGAAAACTGCTGCAGAATCGCATCGAATGCTTGTCAAAGCTTACGGTAAGCATGCTCCTGATAAATCACAATGCTCTGAGTGGTTTAAAAAATTCGAAAGTGGCGATTTTGGCGTGAGAAACGAAGAACGTGGAAAACCACCGAAAAAGTTTGAAGACAGTGAATTGTAAGTATTGTTGGATGAGGATGACGCTCAAACTCAACAACAACTCGCGGATCAATTGAATGTGACACGAGAAGCCGTCTCCGTACGTTTGAAATCCATGGGAATATCAAAAAAAGGCAACACAAAGTGATTTTGCTTCATGATAATGCACCATCACACACAGCAAAACTGGTCAAGGAAACGATTGAGGCGTTTGGTTGGGAAATACCTACTTTCGCATGCGGCTTACTCACCAGACTTGGCTCCGTACGATTACTACTTATTTGCATCGATGGGACACGCACTTTCTCAGCAGCGCTTCACTTCTTACGAAGATGTACGGAAATGGCTAGATGACTGGTTTGACTCAAAAGAGCAACAATTTTTTTGGCGTGGCATCCACAAATTGTCAGACAGGTGGGAAAAATGTATAGCTAGCGATGGGCAATACTTAGAATAAAATATTTTTTATCATTTTCATGCAATAAACGTGCATTTTCTATTAAAAAATTCCGGTTTCATATTTACATACCTGGTAAAATGTATCGAATATTTCACGGTTTAATTAGTTTATATATTTTTATTAAACGTATATCTTTACGTCGATTTTTATACAACGGCTTTAAAGTGCACTGAGTGCGTACTAGTTCTGCCAATGAAAAATGCTATAAAAGTTTCATGATTGATATCCTGAAATAAAGCCCGATATCCATGATGTTATAAATCGGTCCGAGATCGGACCAGACAGGAAAAAAATTAAATTAAAAAATTATTTAAACTTTAATGCACACGCTGTTGTCGTTATTCCTTTTCATGCACAGCAAATGCAACGGAAACAATTATGAAAAATTGGTATCACGTAACATTTTTGCTGCCGAAAAGGCACCTTAAAACGACAGTGGAATTTATAGATTTATTTAAGGAGTTATTTAAAAATCGTATCTCTTTCTATGTTCTTAAATAAATATAAAGGAGATTTATCGATATTTAGTACAAATATTTATTACAAATATATATCTTTATTCAATACTGTTTGTAATATTGTTTATTATCATTTCAGAATTGTGTCAAAATTGAAATTTGAGTAACAATAAAATTCATTCGCCAAATTGTTTTTATGACCTGGGAGAAAATCACATTTTCTAACGTCCAATAGCCTCTCTGCCAGCTCCGCCATAATAGCACCTGCGTTATATGCATATAAAACAATAGTTTTATTTATATAAATGCGTAATTAATCAATACATAATAAAAATTTATGACAGAAAAATAATTTTATGCACCTGTGCAAAGAACAATATTTTTCTTGGTCAAAAACTTTATTGTCACCGCCACCTTAGTTAGACATTCCTCCGAAAGAAAAGGTGGATCTGCTATAACCAAATCGTATTGACTAGACATATGCTGAGGTATATCCATAGGAAACTTGTAGTCATACTGTATAAAATCTGTACCAAATATCTTGAAACGACTGTCATACTCAAACAGCGTGACTGCAATTAAAATAATATATTTGCAAATAGAGTTAGAAACTAAGAGATGAAAGCTTTACATGATCTGAGTTGTATTTTCAGCTTAAATAATTTGATGTAAATTTTATATATATATTCAATTCTGTAAACTGCACATCAAATTTAATTTTCAGTTTTAAAACTTAAGTATGTCCCAAATTCCCAAATGTGAGCGTACTCCCAAGACCTCAGATCGTATAAGGTTTCATTTCTTGGTTATGTATTTACATTATGATCTTAAACTTAATTTTACTTTAGTTACGGTTCACTTGATGCTATAAATGCTTCGCAGTATTTTTTAATTGGTCGATTAATAGAATTCTTTCTTCTGATTGGTCAATCAAAATTTGCTTTGAAGCATTTTTAATGCCAAGTGGAATGCATCCTTTATTTAATAGAAGGAATGTTACTTTATCATTTACAACATATATTACCACGTTATTGTTACCATTTTTTTGTAAAAGTAATGTACTACTTATTAATTTTAAAAAGTAATGTGTTATAATACTTAGAAAACAATTACTACCTACTATAGATCCAACCTTAGACAAAAAAGTAACAACTCAAAAAGTGATAACAGTATTATAAGTAACATGTATTTTCAAATCTATTTTGCAAATTAAGTTAATATTACTCCATATATTCAGGATATAATTATTAGTCATACTTTGCCGTTTACCACACTCCTTTTTTAATTTGCTGTAAAGAGTTGGACAAGAAACTAGAGCGATCTTTCCATTTGCTGGTGTAGAATTTAGAGCACCATTAACAAAAGCCTTTATTGTATCGTCATTATACCAAAATTGACTCAATTGCTGTAATATTGATTATGCATCAATTTCTGAATTGATTTCTAGAATTAAAAAATTTATCATATTATTTTATCGTTTACTTACCCAATTCTCATCGAAAGGAGTATCTGGCACTTGATCTTCGGATATCAGCTTCAACAAATTTTCTCGCTCTTCTTTCTCCTTCAAAAATTCCTCTAATGCGGCAAGCGTACTCGAGCTTAGTCGCGGATGATCATCACTATCACTATTACTCATTGGGTCTGTTTTTGTGACTGAACTAATGTACACTTTTAAAACTTAAAGTGAGATAGTTGTATGGTTGATATTTGGCAAAAGCGAAAGAGTAGTGCAATCTAGTGTAAGAATAAATACCTGACCCAAACAAGTATTCTACTATAAAAACAAAAATTATATAAAAAATAATTTATTTTTAAAACAAAGAATTTGTGTAATTAAAGCAGAAAATACTTATTCTAGCCTTAATTATGTTTTTACGTTTTCATGTCTCTCTCTACGCCATCGATCAACATCGATGTGACAGATTTTCTAACCTGCAAGACTATTCCATAGTGGGAGACGGAAGTCATGATGCAAATAGAATTTGTAGTCCAACTCTCTTCTTGTAAAATGTTGCTAACAGATGTGGCGCCTCTATAGACTGGCAACCTAGAAATGGAATTACGTAGCCAAAAATTCAAAATGGCGTCAGCTTGAATCGCTTGAACGAATACAGATCAAAACCCATCAAGTTTGATACCATATTATCACTTATCAGTTTTGATATTATTTGTATTATTATACAATTATACAATGAATCAGTAGTCTGTAATCGGTGAATCGGAAGCGAGTTCGAAGGATAATCGGTAAGTCGAGATTGGTCGACATCAATGAATCAGTAGAGTTGGCCAGCAGTCAACTTCGGGGTGATCCAGATTGATCACGGCTCGGTCGGACACCACCAATCACAGCGACCGGTGCTTAGGAGCTTTGTAGTCTCAAGCGCTGTTAGTGGCTCGTGTCCAACTGGGTGCCAGCCCAACAGCACTTTGACACCGAACGCTGAATTGGTGAAAAACGGATGATGAAGGTAAATTTTACCCCCACACCGGCTTTTCACCAATCAGAGCTCTGTGTCAAAGCGCTGTTGCCCGTATGAGGATCCGGACTTACATACGTTTCTCTCTCTCTCTCTCTCTCTCTCTCTATATATATATATATATGTGTGTGTGTACCACTCTTTTCTAGTACTCATCTTATATAAATGCGTGCGTGAAAGTAATTATAAACTATATAAATATCTAACGGTTTTTTGGCGGTATTTTAAATAGAATTTAGCGGGTAATTTTTTTCAACAGTTGGCATCACTGAACACAGGTCTAAAGCCCAATGTCCACGATGCTAGAAATCGGTCCGAGATCTCGGATCGAGAAATGTGTAGCCAATCAATTTACCAGTTTTCCGTAAAAACTGTAAGCTGATTGGCTATACATTTCTCGACCCGAAAACTCGGATCTAGCATCGTGGACATTAGACTTAAGTCCGGATCTACAATAGCGTTTTAAGCCTTAAGCCATAAGAAATGGGCGAATCACAATCGCTTATTCTTCTCGGATTCGACTGTAATTGGTCAATTTCTTATGGCTTAAGGCTTAAAACACCTATTGTAGATCCGGACTAATGATCGCATGCAACAGACTCAACTGTCGTGGAATGGATCCGTGAGCGCTCGCTGCTATTGGATGATCTAGAAGAATACACCAATAGCAGCGAGCTTACGGATCTGTTCCACACAGTTGAGTCTGCTGAACGCGACCAATTTGATTCGACTGTCGACCACTGTCGCGCCGTCGACGTCGATGGTCAGCGATGGTGGATGAAAGACGAAATGGCTTCTCATCTGGTTTTCATTCCGATGCGATAATCCGACATATCGAAGAGTATTGTAGCTTGCTCGTGTTCTAGAATTTTCTACTCGTAGTGAACTATACGATCCATTCGCGGTTTTTGCAAATCGTAATCTCACTCGAACTTATCAACGTCAGTCCTACACTCCCACTGTATCTCGTCTTGTGACTCGTGAGTGATCATCGTTACGGGTACAATGGCCGATGCAGAAGGGAAGAAATTGACGGAGCTTCGAGTTATAGATCTAAAAACAGAGTTGGAACGTCGTGGACTGGACAAATCCGGTAACAAAGCGGCGCTTCTCGAACGGCTCTCAAAGGTGAACGATATCTCGGTTTTTTTCTTTTTTTTTTTATTCGCGCTCGAACACTCATACTCCAACGGCGTGGTTTATCGATCTTATCGATTTAATAGTGTGCCTGCTATCGCATATTTGCGCTAATTAAAAGGATTTTCAATTATATGATCAATATTATATATAACTCGAGTAAGGATGCTCTTGTTATCAACAAAAAGTGCTCGTTTAAAAATGCATCAAATACTTTGATTGCGCAATCTAGGCTGTGTTCCGTTTCACGCATGATGTGCATGATGCATCACTTATTCGCCTTGTTATTTGCCGAATGTTAAACGAGGATGAATGATGCATTATGCACATCATGCATGAAATGGAACGTATCCCTAATCAACATGCTACTTGGGGAAGGAGAAGGGCAGTTTATGTATGTATATTAGCTTCTTGAAATAAACGATTGTTTTCTTCTTGTTTGTATTAGTGTGCCAGTTGCTGATAAAAAGAGTATTACGTAAACTACGCCATACTTTGGAAGAGTTAAAGTGATAAGTCACAAACCTTGAAACACGATGCATTTATTTGCACAATATACATTCGTTTTTTTTTTTTAAATTAAATCTTTGCGTGCCAATAATATATATATGGTTCGCATTTATAAATGTAAAATGGAACAATAATTTAATTATTTATAGGCAATACTGGATGAAGGAGGAAATCCTGAGGAGTATCTTATTGTACCATCTGGTGGGCCACCTAAAATCATTCCGAAAAGGAATGGTGGTATATATGTTTCCATATTTCATTATGAAAGTAGTATCTAAGAAACTATCTACAATGAGAGTAATACATAATAAAGTAAACTATGAGTCACACATAAGAAATTGATCAATCAGTTGAATGTGTGGAGAAATTTATCATTTATTACTTATTACATAATATAAGGTTGATATTTTATATATCACAGAACAAACTTTTTAAGGCTGTAGCATGATTGGCTATAGAACAGAGAAATCTGAGAACCTCTCTGTCCTGCAGCCAATCAACAGGTTCCAAGTCTTGTCAATCGACACCTGGGCTGCGTTCAGAATTATCATCTAGGTGCACCCAGATGTTCTTTTATCCTTGTTTAATATTCGTGAACAACAAGGATAAAGCGACATCTAGGTGCATTCGGACGACAATTCTGAACGCAACCATGAAATACCAGGTTTACTCTCATTGTAGACGACCCATAAATTATTCCTATTGTAGACAGCCTATCCTACAATTAATCCTATAATTAAGTTATAAGTAATTGTAGTTTTAAGGCTCCTGAGCCATATTGAATCATGACGTCATAAACGAGAAATAACGTATTAAAGTATTTGCATACCATTTGTGAATAAAGACAGTTTGGATAAAATAGAATAATGAGATCATGGTAAAACACTTGTAAAAATGGACTAAGACTATCCTTATCCTCTCCGACAGTCAGTAAATAGTCGAAAAATGTTTGTGAAGTAAAAATAGGCTACACATGTGCATTGAGGAAGAACTAATAAAAGCACTTTACATGCTTTTTACGATAGGGAAAATAATGATAGCCTCGACCCATTGTTACAAGTGTTTTACAGCGATCTCATTCCGTTTTATCCAAATTATCTTTATTTATAAATGGCATGTAAGAAAATTCAATGGTTGCATTTAACAGATTTAACAGTTGAGTAAACGCTCGCTGCTATTAATGTATAATTCTGATATGTAAAATTCTGATTGGATGATCTAAAAAAATACACCAATAACAGCGAGCGCTCACTGTTGAGTCCACCTAATGCATCCAAAGTGTCATGGGCCTTCTACAATAAGCCGTAAGTCAGAACGTCAGAAGTCTTAACCAGACTTAACCAAATCGTTCAAGTTGGCTATTGGCCAACTTCACCGATTATGACTTAAGATCGCTTAGAACTTCTTACTTGCGACTTATTGTAGAAGGCCCATTACTCGTGACATATTTTTCGTTTATGATGTCACAATTAAAAATGGCTGAGGTGAGTACTCAGGAGCCTTAAGAATTGATTAATCACAACTAAATATGAAGAGAACATTTGATTGTGATTGTTTAATTTTTACTGCAATCACTTATAATTACGCTTATATAATTGTAAAGAATGGGCTTAATAGAATGTTAATACATTGTATACGAATTCCAATGTGTTGAGCCAAGATAAAAACTTTTTATCATTTGTTGAACTTTCTTATCGTTACAGGAGCTCTGAGTCAAGAAGATTCTTCTACTGAGTGCTCTGATCATCAGAAGGAAGAAAATATTGATATACAGGATAATATAGATAAATATAAGGTGGAAGTAAAAACGGAAGAATTTGATGAGAAAGAAGTTTCCATCAGGAAAGAAGTTTCCAAGAAAGAGGTATTGCATGCATATTGATATTTGAGATATTTTAATTAAATTAGGGTTTAATCTATTGCTCAAAAAATCTATAATTTACTTTGAATTTTCTTGTACAGGAACCCGAAATTGAAATTAAGAATATTATTATTAAGGTGGAAAAATTAGACGACAAAATGCAAGGAATCAAGGCTGACAGTGCATCTAACAGCGACAAGAAAAATGAGACGGAGAAGATTATCTCAAATCAAACCTCAGACGTGCCATCTGCCACTGTTGAAGCTAATGGAATTGACAATGAGGATTCTATCAATTTGACCATTGGAGAAGATGAGGAGAATCTCCTAGCTGAGGAGGTATGATTTAAAGAAAAAAAGAAATTTTTTTTTTAGAATTACCTTGATTTTGCCCATTGCAAAAAGTTGTATTTACTTCGAAAATTTTTTTTACGAAAGTGAAAAAATTTATATAATTTTTCTCATTCAAGTTATCACAGTAAGACTTCTTTTAACTAAGAAAAATTAATTGTTTTAACAAAACGTGCACGCGCACGCGCGCGCGCACACGCACACACACACACACACAAAATATGAGAGAGAGAGAGAGAGAGAGAGAGAGAGAGAGAGAGAGAGAGAGACATGATAAATATAATCTCTTTTTATTAAAATAGAAAGACTAATTTTATAGCTGAAGAAAGGATTCTAACTGATTTTGGAACAAAATGTTAATCATTTTTATTAAAAATAACTAATAGTTTTAACTGCATTTGCAACAGTAGGAATTTGGAATTTTCATTTTTTATAATTTTCTTTCTA